ATCTCTACTCCTTTTTGGGAAATCAACTCTTTATAGACTCCTTTATTTCACAAAATAATTATCTATGATTTTTTTAATTATTCTGGCACTTTATATATTTTTAATAATTCTTTATTTTTTATTTTCCAGAATTTTTTACTTAATTAAAAATAGGTTTTTATTTAATAACTATTTTTTTGAGGCCTTAACTAATTCTTTAAACCTCCTAAGAATCTTATTAATTCCTAATTTCAAAATTTAGGATATTACATGGACACAGTTTTTCTTAGAATACTGCTAACGTAAAGATTGGTTGAATTGACTTGTAGCATTAACATTTCGTCAGAATACTCTCTACATTTAACAAATAGAGTAGAAGATACACATTGAGTTGCATATGTTTATCCTTTGTAAAATTCCCTAATATTAAATGCATACTTTTGTTTAACCATTTATTTGTGAACTTTAGTTGTATATCTTGTATATTGATTGCATATAATATTATATGCATATATGGTAAGTTCCATGGCTGTACGTTGGCTATATATAATACTCATCCGATCCTTAATATAAGACTCATTTAACTAATTTGATTATATTAAAGAAGTTAGATAAGTTAGTTAATTATAAGAAATATAACATGTTTTTCCTAAAATACCATAATCATCTTTCTTAATACTCTCTCTTCCTTTTCTACTTGATTATGGTTGAGGGAGTATCCATAAGGGTAATTTAAAAAAAATTGATAAATATAATAAATGAATCTTATATTTAGGATCAAAACTAACTCAATAACTTACCGGAGGAGTAGCAGGTTATGTAATATATTTTTTAAAAGAAAAATTCCAATTACAGCGTGAGTTGCGTAATAATTGACGCCGTAATGCATACACTCATGGTATCTGTTGCCTAACTGACACCATAATATCTATTTTCTGCGACTCTTATTTCTACTAAACCCCTTGTGTAGAAGCAGAAATGTATTTTTAATTGATGCCAAATATAACATTTTGCACCATGCTTAATGAACCACTTTTGTACCAAGTAAATATTTCTCTATTTCTTATTTCATAATGTAAGTACTACTTAATTAATTTAAATTGATTAAGAAAAGTAAATAAATTATTTTATTCTATCAAATGTGATATATCCCTATATAACATTAGATTACATATCGTTTGCAAGAAAAATATTAGATTATATACCAATTTATAATTTCACAACTTTAATTTACATGCAATTAAGTTACTAAAATACCCCTTTTTGTTCATTCTTCTTTTTTTCCCCACCTTGTTTCCATTTGATAATTCCTCGCCCTTTATTTCCATCTCTTGAAGCTTCCTAAGTTTGTTGTCAAAATCATTTTCATTTCTACTCTCTTCCTTTTCAATTAGTTGCTGTTGAGTTCTTGTGTGTGGACTGTTGGTCGACCTCTTTCTTACCGCATCAATAAGTGACGTTAATTGGAGCAGCAAATTTCTTTTTCTTGAATGTCTTTTCTGTTAATATGAAGTTACTGAATAAATCTTTTTTTTTTAATGTATTGTCTGTTAATATGAAGTTATTGAATAAATCTCTTCCTGCATCATTACCATTGATTGCTTATGGTCTTAATATTTCCTCCTATCTTCCTTTAGCCTCTCTTCCTATCATTACCATTGAATGACTAACTACATTTACCGACTTAATGGTCATTACTATTACTGTTTACAATCAGCAAAATGTGAATAACACACAATATTTAATAATAAACTATGTAATGGATTTCATTTTATAAGGCTCAAGATGTATTTAAAGGTTATTTGATGAAATTGTGATCAAGCTAGTAGGCATAAAAGAGAAAGTAGTACGGAAATTTAACCTAACAGTTAAGGATATAAATATAAGGAGTTGAATACTGTATATATGTTGAGAAGCTATTTCATACGATATTATATTGGAGTTCAATGAGCTAACTAGATTGACAAGGAAGGGTTAAAATTGCTAACATAGTAATGGCCAAGAAATGAGAAAATTGGCAACAAACATTATTATGAGATATCTTGGACAGTTTCAAGCCAGTCTAACCCTTGGAAATGTATGTTTATGGAATGGAGAGTTATAAAATATGTATTGAGCAACATTTCTATGCAATAATGGGATTAAAAGTTGAAATATATTAAGTAGCAAATGGGGGTGAAATGGTCATTTGGAAGTCACTCTTCTTTTACCAGCCTTTTAAAGTCTTTTCCCCCAATTTTCTTGTATTTCCTAGGACACTTAGGAAGGTTGGGGAGATGGGGGGATGAAAAAGAAGAATGACGAGAAGAAAATAAAGTAACCATAATTAGTTTTATTCTTTCTTATTCTGAGTGTTATTGTTTATTCGTGCAATTCAGTTCATGGTTCCATCTTTATTGCTTGGTCACTTGAAGCGTCCATTGAGGGTCTCTTTATTTGTTGGTCGTTTGAAGCCTCCCTTGATGGTTTCCTCTATAGTTGCCAATATTATGTTATTTTTGTTTGATTAGAACCTAATAACTATTGTTCTAATTATCTAAAATGAAGAGGATGCATAAAGAATTGTAGCGTAACATGAGAAATCTCTCAACTTGTTCAATAATCATATCTCAGTATAATGAGAAACTATTCGTTAATGGCTAACTTGGTCTTAGCAAAAATGTTTAGCAAATTAATCACTTTAATATCTCAACTTGTCATATGATTTCTAAATATAAATCTTAAGAGAAATTATTTGGAAAATGTGACTTATAAATCTTAGAAGGTATGACCAAATTAATCGTTTTAATTATACGTAGGGCTCACTTTAGTTAATTTGAAAAAGCTATCCTTCCAAAATCAAATTCCAAACCTTACAAAGTTGCCTAAAGAAAAAGAGTGGACTCACTGTTCTTATAGTTCTAATCCAAAATGTTAAAAAGAAAAATATACTGCTATAAAATATACTATTTTTATCTATTGTAAAGGACTTTTTTTCATCTGTTTAGGGGTAAGACGCTGCTAAAGGAGATATAGATAGTACTCCCTCTGTCCTTTATCATAAAATCCACTAAACTGTATTATATGGTTTAAGAAAACTGTTAAAATTAGTTAAAAGTAATAAATATGTTGGAAATGTACTTTTTTTCCCCAAATATGTCCTCGTTTATAGGTGGGTAGGTGCGAGTGAGAAAAACAAAATGAGAGAGAATGTATAAGAAAAAGATAATGAGATAGATTATTTGTAATTTAATTTAATTTAGCTCAATTCCAATTTAAACAATTCAACACAAAGTTCAGATATTCAATCCAACAATTTACTATATAAGTTTATGCCTAATATGTTTATTTCAATGGACCAGAAATTATCATGTGCAGATATTCTAATATTGTGCCTAATGTGATGAATCCAATGTAACTGGAACTGAAAAAAGAGCCAAGAACACAAAACCAAAACTCTATTAACAACATTGGAACTAACTAACTTTAAAAGATATCTAGCCATGTTTTGTTAGTTTACATAGGTATGTGAAATATATAGTGGATGTGGATAAATATGTGAAATAAACATAAGCTTCCACTTTTGGGAATAGAAGAAAAAATAAGAAAAAGTTGGGAAACTAACAAAGAAGCCTAAAACAAAATATAACATTTCCCTTTTTCACATACTCAACCACCATGTATATTTATGTACAAATTACATCCATAGTTTTCTAAAATTTAACATGAAAATTAAATAACATTGCCCTTAAATTTCATTCCTTAATACATTATTAATACTTAATTAACAAGTTTACCAAGCTTTTAATTTTCAAATGCTTTGCCCGATAATGTTCAATGCTTCCTAAATGCAATTCCTTACCAAGAATCAATTAAAACAAAAAATTAAAGCAAACTATTTGAACCCAACACTTTATATATAATCACATTTTAAAGAAGTCTCAAATTAAATATGACATTCTTAACCACCATAATATGTGTGTTTGTGTGTTCAAATATCATCTATAGCATTCTAAAAATCAAGATGGAGATTAAACAACATTGTTCTTAAATTTCAATCCTTAATATATTGAGAATACTTAATTAACTACTATATTCCAACCAAATTCCTCTCCTAGACATTTTTACAAACACATTATGTGCATTAACATTCCAACAAATTTACCAAGCTTTCAATCTTCAAATGCTTTGCCCAATCAATGGTCAATGCTTCCTAAATGCAATTCTTTACCAATAATCAATTTAAACAGAAAATGTATGCACCCACAAAACACTTATATTCATCACTTTGAATACCCACACAACCAAATGAAATAGCAGCCACACACACCTAAAACATGCAGCACCTAACATACCAAACAGGGGGAAGAGTGTTTAACTTACCTTGCTACTAGCCGTGGACTTTCAAGCTCTTAAACTCAAAACTATCATGGAGAAGACAAGTTGAAAAGTCCCAACTTTTAGAAATGCAAAATCATAACTTTTTTTTTCAGCAAAATGATAAGGAGAGTTGTAATACATGTCCTCACCTCAAGCTGAGTTGTCCACTATGAGTTTCAGCATCTATACATATTGTTGTTGTGAGTTTGTCAACAGAGAAGAAGATATGTCGTGGAAAGGAGGAGAATGCACAGGGTTTTCTGCCGTAGGGTTATTCAATCTGATTTATAGCATTTAAACATCCATTCACGTCTGTTGAAGGATAACATATGAGTATATTAACATATATTCATCTATTCATGGAGAACAAACAAGTATATATTCATATACTAATATGTTTTCTTTTGACAAATGTGTATATGTAGCTTTTTTTTTTTTTAAACAAAAGAGAATAGAGGGCAGAAATGTTTATTTTATAGTAGTGATATAATGAAACATAAAGAAATTTAGAATGAATCTGATCAAGTTAGAAAATTTCAAATTTCAAATAATTTTACATATTATTACATTGTACACAGAATCACTCTAATTTACAAGAATAAGTGTTACCCAAAAAAAAAAGGATTAAAGAAATGGTACGTAAAATGTGCTTTAACAATTACTCAACTAACAATTTGCTGAGCATTTTCCATTAACAAAACCTTGATCTTTTTCAATGACACTACAACATCAATCATAGTAAGTCGTACTTCAGGTAAGTCATTGCAACACTTTAATGCTAGATCAAAAACTGATGATATATGAGATAATATATTATCAGTATTTTGATTTTTTCTATGCAACAAATTTGCATCTATAATATTGATGATTGAATGTGGTGTGGATTTGCTCACCCAGTCTTTCAAATTTAGTCCTTGAACAAATATCTCATCTGTTGGCTTCTTCCTTGTAAACATTTCCATCAGCAAAATACCATAACTATACACATCTCCTTTGGCAGAGACAACTCCTTTTGATCCATACTCTGTATGTCATGTTGAATAATCAGTATAAAAGTCATGATGTCAAAACCATAAGGTTTGTCCCTTGTTAATCTGTTTTTTTTTTGTATCATTTCTTCAAATATTTACATATGAAGGCACGAAATATTTGCTACAAATTGAGTAGTATAGAATTTTATAAAGCATACATGATAAACAAAAGAACATAGAAATAAATCCACAACAATATTACTAATCCATTACCTGGTGCCATATAGCCAATAGTAGCCAAAGATTTCGTATAAATTTTTGATTGCTTTTCACCAAATAATTTAGCAATACCAAAATCACTAAGATGAGCCACCATATCTTCGTCTAACAAAATATTGCTTGGTTTCACATCACAGTGAACAACTAGTATAGGAGAACCATGATGAAGATACTCCAAAGCTGTTGCCACATCTATCATTATATTCAGCCTTTGCAAGACATTTAAATAATAGTTATGAGAGTACAACCATTTGTCGAGACTCCCATTTGCCATGAATTCCATGATTAGAGATCTGAAATGATCGTTTGAGCAACTGCTAATGGTTTTAATGAGATTGCGATGGCGCAAATTGCATATGGCAGCACATTCAATATCAAAACTTCTCAATGCTTCTTCTGTGTCTAAGTTATTAAATACTTTGACAGCAACTATATTTTCATTAGGAAGAATTGCTTTGTATACTGATCCAAAACTTCCAGAGCCTAGAAGATTACTCTCATCAAATCCATTTGTTCCTTGTAGAAGTTCATAATAGGATATCCTAGTTGGTGTATCCAAATCTGTTAAATCCTTTTTGGTTGAATAATTATCATCATCTCTCTTATGCTTTAGAAAGATAATGCTTGAAACAACCAAAATGACAAACATGATGGGTAATAAGCATTTTATCATTAGCATCACTTTATTTGATATGGGCTTGTTTCCTCTCCTACATGGTTGAACTTGTAGTTGGGATTTCCCACAAAGATCTTTATTCATCATAAAAGATTGGGCAGTAAAATTCCAAAAAGGGCCACCATCAGGAATTTCTCCATGCAATAAATTGTAGGAAAGATTCATGTAGTTAAGATAGAGTAATGACTCCAAGGACTTTGGAATCACCCCAGATAAGTAATTATGAGAAAGATCCATAGACTCCATGCTTATCATGCCACTAAACGCTTCAGGAATAGGCCCTTGCAATTTGTTTTGAGCTAAAGATAAAGTCTGTAAAGTTTGCAAGCTGCCTATAGCTGCAGGGATGCTTCCTGAAATTTGGTTTCTGGACAAGTTCAATAGTATAATTGCTCTGAAGTTTGATACCTCTGGTGAAATCATTCCACTTAGTGCATTAGAGGATATGTCTAATACCAAGATATCTTTGAGACTCCAAAGAGAAGAGGGTATATGAGATATCAATTTGTTAGAGCTAAAATTTAACTTCCGCAAAGAAGTATTTCTGAGACATCCTGGAATTGCTCCTGAAAACATGTTCTTGGCAAGATACAACTCACTCAGACCTTTGAGTTGACAAAGTTCAGTTATAATGAACCCGTGCAATTTGTTGTTACTTAGACTTAAACGTTGAAGGTTATGTAATTGGTTAAATATGTCTGGAATCAACCCTGTCAAATGATTCTCATCCAAATCTAATTCTATCAAGCTTGTTAAACTTTTGAGGGTAGTGGGTATAGCTCCGTTAAATTTATTCAACGACAAATCTAACTTAATGAGCTTAGAAGCATTTGATATGCTATTTGGAATTTGTCCAGTTAGTTCATTTCCTTGCAACTGTAACTCATACAGGTTGGGAAGGCCAATTCCTAAATATGATGGCAAAAGGCCATAGAGGAAATTCCAATCAAGGAGCACTCTTTTCAATGTTGAAATGTTAAATATATTGGAAGGAATGGGTCCATACAGATTGTTTCCTCCCAAAGCTAAGATTTCAAGTCTAACAAGATTGCCTATATCGTTGGGTATATAACCTGGAAATAAAAAGTTGAATGTACTCCTTAAAAGAAACCAAAATGGATAATAATGTTCGCAGATAATATATGTGCATACCATATAACATAGAAAACTATACTCCTCTTACTAATTCCAAAAACTTAATATTCATTAATGCTGACATGTTGAATATATTAAAAAGAATAGGGTCAAGTCTAACACATTAGGTTTATCAAGTTTGCCTATTTTTTAAGGTACGAAACATGGACATGAAAAAATTGATGGAAGATCATGACTTTTATATAGTTTAGATATTAATATATACAAATAAATTTAGAATTAAATACTCTAATCTTTCTTGTATTTTGTCCTAATTACACGGATCTCCCCTCTTTTTTGAAAACATACAATTAAATCCAAATTGTTAATTTTGTTACAAATATTCTAAAAATATTTTTTAATTAAAATTTATATTAAAATATTTTTATTTACTAATTTACCCTTGATAATACTAAATCCCTAAATGTTGGCTAAAAAGTTCTAAACAATTTAATGTTTTTTCCTATCCCTGAATTTTATTTTTTTTCTTTTTGAAAATAGTTATTTGTTTAATGTTTTTATCATATTGGTATAGAAAATTAAGTAATTTAGGTAATGTAGACTTAAAAACCTTGAATGGAAATTTGATTAATTTTTTTAAGTAAATATATAATTGACTGAATAAGTTATAAATCTTTCTAATAAAATTTTTATTTAAAAGTTTTAAATTATAAATTTAAATGGTTTCTAGAATCTCTCAAACTTAGACAATTTATATTACATAATGAGAAAAAAATATGTCTTTATTTTATTTTCTAGCCATTTAAAAAAACTAAATAAATAAGTTTCATTATATGTGATCAAGAATTAAAATTATAAAATTTTATAATATAATCAAAATTAGTAAATTTTAGTACATTTTAAAAATTTTGAAAATACATGTATTAAAATTATTTTTTTTGAAAAATGTAAATGTTGAAATGACTTTTATATTAAGGAGGGGTGTTTTGGTCAAAAAATTTTAATAGTCAAACTTAACGGTCAACTAATGGTTAGATGAACAAAAATAAAATCTGAAATATACAAGAAAAGTTTTTATAACATACATTTTAATTTTAAGGAAGGCTTATATTTATTTTCAAAATAGATTAAAGGTTTGTGTAATTTAGGTAAAATAAAGGAGTAGATAATGTATTTTACTCTGATATCTTTCAAAGAAGAATGCTAAAGATCGTGGAATTAATTTCACCTATTTAAAACGAACTACCAAATCATTTATATTTTGCTTGAAGGTTGTTAACTATTTAAAAGGCTCTAACTTTAAAATACGACAATGAATTTATCGTACGCCAAAAAAAAAAGGCTGAAATTTTATTTTATTTTGTTTAAGGAATTAAACTACTTTCAGTTTTTTGATATAAAAACTATTTTTAGTTATACATTCTGGATATTAGAAAGAAACACTAAAACTAATCCTTTTTAACATCCTTATCAGCATCTGAAGTTAGAAATTCACACATAGAAGGAATGCGACCACAGATGAAGTTAGAAATGTTTATTGATCCATTTTTGTTCATGCAAGGCGTGTGGTATCTTTTCCTGGATTGTATATATTAAAAAAAGAAAAGAAAAACTAAAGACGTGTAGTTAAAATTTGGAGGACTAAAAAATTAATTTTTTTTTTCAAAAAGACCAATCACATTATGAACAAAGCACACACCATGATCAAGGATTTGGAGGTTTGTCAAACCTCCAATCTCAATTGGAATAATTCCTGAGCAAATTATATATGGTGAAGCTATTTTATTTATCACAGTATAAATGATGTGGGACTTTTTTAGAGTAAAATTAAAAAATTTAAATATCAAATGGTCCCATCAGGTCTTGATCTTGTCTTTCTTTTATTTTGGCATTGTAATCACAAGCTTAATATATACAAGTCCTATCATATGAATGAACAATCTGAATGAATGAAATGGCTAAAAAATTTTTTATAGACTACCATCCATTCATGATTTGATCTTTTGATATTTGGGGCTGTAAATTAATAGCTATATTTAAAACCCCCCACTATAAATAGAACAATATTAATGAAATGATGAAAAACATAATCCTCATCTAAATTTAGTCTATTAGAAAAATGATTCTAAAAATGAAGGAAAAAAAAAGATATAATAATCCCACGGTTGTATAGTGGGTGGCAACCAAATATAATTGATTAGTAACAACTTCTTGTAAAAAGATTGATTGGACTTATAAGAAGAAAAAATAAAGCAGGTTATATTTTCTGCATATAATAATATACATAATACACACGTGTACTGTTAAAAAAAACTACACGTGCCTTGTTAATATTAGGAAGGGAGAACGCAAATTTCTTAATTAACAAATTGCATGTGAATCTGTTAAATTTAACTGTACAAATATTTTCCGCATTGCCAATAAATCATATGTGGCATAAAGCATTAAACTATTTTTTTGGCAATTTTTCTTTCCAAGAGATTTTTTAGGGTACAATTGAAGTGAGAAATTATGAAAGCATACTTTCCTCAACCTGTTGATTTTGTATCCTTCTTTTAATTTCAGATTTATTGTAAAAACTTTATTTAATTTCACATACAAATTGAACATAAAACAGTTTCTCTGTAAATTCAAATGAATTCGAATGATGCGATTTAATAATTTGACTAACTATTGAAAACATCTCGTGTTCTCGTTCATTAATTGGAAATTAAATTTGCTTGAATAAGCATTTTTTGAGTTTCAGTTAAATTTTTGTTTTAAATTTTATTTGTAATTGATTTTCTATAATTATCTAAATAATTTTTTTGTTTATTGTACATTTTTCAATTCCTACGATATAAATTTTTTAAAATTATTACATATAATTTTAATTACAGTTAAACAATATAGAATTGTTACAATTTATATATAATAAAGAGAATTTTTCTCAAAAAAAATATATAATGAATAAAAAATTATATATAACTTTTCTATCCTACTAATTTAATATCATGAGGTCCTCGCTATTCATAATCTTGGCTTTATTTGTTATCCTGGCATTGTCATGACTAGCCTTACATGAGTCCTATCATAAGTGCATAGAAAATATTAAAAAGAAGAAAACAAAGACACATAAGTGCATACCTGTAAATGAGTTATCACTCAAATATAATTCTTTCAAAGATGTGCAGTTCCTTATTGATTTTGGAATGATCCCCTCTAATTGATTATCAGTAACATCAAAGGATTCAAATAAAAGGAGATGATGGCACATTTCCTCTGGCAAATTACCCTTTAAATGATTGATGCCAACGTCAAAAATTCTCAAAGAAGGCATGTTCCAAAGAAATGAAGGAATTTCACCTATAAATAAATACCAATTATTTGTTAATTACCAGGTAGTATGGCAAGCAACTTCCTAATAAATTCACGCCTACATAAGCATATAAATAATGCTTCTCCGGTTCTAATTATAAGAGCTAGTTGACTAATTTGAGAAAATTAAAAAAAGAAGTTAAGTTAGTTATTTGTAATAAATATGTATTGTCTTTCCTAAAATATCCTGTTTAATCAAGTGTATTGGCTAAAACTACCATTATTAGAAGGACTACCTTGGAAAAAATACATAAATATGAGAGAAAAAGTGGATTGGTGTCTTATATTTAAGACCAAAATAAAAATCAAATAAAGTCTTATATTAAGGATTGGAGATAGTACATGGAATTTTGATAATTAGATGCTTAAAATTAATAGAAAATAAGTCAGTTTTTAGATTGACGGTAATGTAAAAAGGACTCCTTTAATATCAGTGATCAATTGAATATTAAATTTCTTTCAAAGAAGAATTGCTGAAGAGAGACTATGGATTTAGCCTCACCTATATAAAATGAACATCCAAATTATTTATATTTTGCATTAAACTTATTTAATATTTACAAGGATTAAATTTTGAAATATGAGGATGAGTTCATCATAGGCAACAAAAAAAATGGAAGGCTAAAATTTAGTTTTTATTTAATGAACTAAAGTACTTTCAGTTACACATCGTACTGATATAGTATAAATAATAACAACTTCATTTTTATTTAAGAAAAATGGATTGCGTTAAACATATCAAGTATACTAGAATTTTGACTCTTACTCTCCGTTTAGATGGAAAGATAAGAAAGAAAACAAAAAGAAAGAAAATCTACTGAAGAGAAAACTTGAGAGAAAATATTATCATCTCTCATGTTTTAATGAAGGAGAGAAAATAGAAAAAAATGAATAAATATTTAAATGACTAAAATATCTTTTTTACCATGACAAAATATAAATGTTTAAAATTGAATAAGATATTATAATAAAAATCATATTAACATTTACATTGTCAAATACTACCTCCGGTCCTTAATATAAGACCCTTTTTTACTTTTATTTTGATCCTAAATATAAGACCCCCAATCCACTTTGTCTCTCATATTTATACATTTTTTTAAGGTAATCCTTCTAATAATTATAGTCCTAGCCAATATAGTTGATTAGTGAAGATATTTTAGGAAAAGCAACACCTGTTTATTACAAATAACTAACTTAACTTCTTTTTTTAATCTCTTCAAATTAGTCAACTGGGTCTTATAATTAGGATCGGAGGTAGTAATTTAATAAAAGTGTTACGTTTTAGGATAACAATAAAAGTGATTAATTTTTTAAAATTAAATAAAATAAAAATAAATAAACTATGTGTGAGAAGCCGCTCAATCATATACAATCTATCAGTCTATCACAAGCTCGAGGTTTTCTCCTTTTTTTCTAATTAAAAAAATGAGGTTCTTGAAGTGTGGTAACGCTTTCGCCCCCCCAAAAAAAAAGGAAAAAGAAAAGCGAACTGCACTAATGTTGGGGATAATAGGAACAGCTATAATGTGAAGTTCAGTTTTGCCATGAGTTTCACTCACAACATTCATGATGAAGAGGTGCGGATGTGAGGGCAGTAGTGGAAGGTGTATTTTCTTCTCATTTTCTTTTCACATTTGAAGAGAAAGTTTGAGAGGAAAATATGGTGAATCCCGCTGGCCATTTTCTCCCCCACTTTTTCTTCATCCCAACTTTCACTCCTATTTTCTTTCCTAGTTCTCTTTCCTCCCAACTTTTCTCTCTATCCAAACAGAGGGTTAAAACAATCTCAATTAAAAACTTTGCAAGCAATAGAGAATAAGTATAAATAAAAAATAAAAATCTTTAAAACATAAAATAAAGAAATGGGTTGATTGGGCATACCTGTAAAGAAATTCCATGATAAATATAATTCTTCCAACAATGTTCCGTTGCCAGTTGATACTGGAAGACTACCATTCAAATTGTTTCTGTCTAAATACAACATTCTTAAAGAAGAAATGTTGAGGAGAGATGATGGAATCTCACCTGTTTCAATTTAAAAGAGGATAAGATATGAGTTATATATATTTTGATGAGAGAATTGGATGTATCATAAAAATCTTTTCAAATACAAATCCTTTCATTAAAAAAAAAAAAAAGCATTGCGTCCACTCATACATTACAAATATGAAACCTTTTTAAAGCACATAAACTGCATAGCATGTTGAAAAGAAACGGATTACTCTATATATAAAAACAAACAGCAAACACATATTTCTAATGATCCAAAACACATTTTAACTTTTTTTTAATAAAATCAAACTGCCCAATGTGATTTTTTTTATGTTTTTTTTTGTTTCAAATGTGGTTTTTAAAATCGTCATCCAAACATATTTTTCATCTTTTTGTTCTCAAAACTTATTTTTAAAAAAAATATGAAATTGTTCTGGAAAAAAGATTAAAAAAAGAAGAAGAAGTAAACAAGCCATTTATTCTCCACGTTATAAATATCTAGTGGTCCATCAGTTCATGATCTTCTATTTCTTTTATTTTGGCATTGTAATCATAAGCTATATATAAGCCACATTCTATGAATCAACAATATAATGAATAAAATGACAAAAAGCAAAATCTCATTTTAGTTTTACGAGCTATATAACTCAGCCTCCGCTATGAATATATACAATATTAATGAAATTAAAAGATAAAACCTCATTTTAAATTTATTTTATCATGGAGAATATTAAAAAGAAGAAAATAATAAAAATAAGAAATGATCATCTTAATGCTTGTAAAGAGGTTGGCATTTAAATACAATTCATTAACAACAATTTTGATTGTGAAAACACTGAATGGACTTGTAAATAAAAAAATAAAATAGTTAATAATATATTTGTATAAGTGTACCAGCTTTAAAGGGAAAATAAAGCAGGAAATATTGTTCGCCTATAGGTACTATATATAAAAATATATACTCATATACATACATATATATATATATGCGCGCGCGCACATATATACACACGCATCTTGCGCGCTGATCCCCAAAACCTGAATATTTGCGTTATGCGGATTAATCGATGCATAAATATTATGAAAGGGGAAAGCAAATTTTGTCTTTCAAATTTCTTACCTGACGTTATGGCAATTTTGAAATTATGTATTTCTTTATTTATGTTTACATTATGACATTTCTCAATCTGGTGTTGCATTTTTTGTCTGTATTTTTATTGAAAAATTTAAAAAAATATACTTAAGGATAAGATATGTCCTTAGAAAGTTAATCTGACAATGTTAAAAAAATATAATTATTTTCAAAAATTAAATTTGTTACTAGCTAACTAAGTCCTATACAGGAACAATTCATTGTCAATATTTATTGCCCAATTTAGATTATTGGTTCAGTAAAAATATTATGTGCATGGGAGACTTACATTTTTAGAAACACACAGAAAGACTTGCGCATTTAGAAACACAAAAATACTTATTTAAAAAAAAAAACCTTTCAATTCATTACACTGTGTTTTATGCTTCAGTTCAGTTTATTATTCCGCAATTTAAATTAGATTAATTTATAATTATAGATTTAATTTTGTTATGTTTTTCAGATTTGGTGGATTAATTAATTCTGAGAAATTCCTATATATCATGTGAGCTGCATACGTTTCATTCAACAAATAAGATTATGAGTTTAAAATAAAAATTAATAATAAATAATAAAATGAATATATATTTTATGTTATGCAAATTAAAATTAAATGTTCCAATTTCCAAACATGTTGCTTGCAAGGCTTGCTTACTCATTTTTTAAGAAAAAGCTTCAAAAAGTTTTAAATTATATAATAAGAAACAGTTGTTTTCAAAGATTGATAACCCGCCTTAAAAGATCTGTTTGGGCTATTATTATGACAATATTCTTTTTCCCATTGGTATAACTAACAATTTCAAAAATCAGATGACAGGTTTTTTTATTCTTAAAAAAGAATAGAAAAATGATTGAAAAAAATAAGAAGAAATGGACAAAAATACAACAAAATCTAAAGCAATATCCAAAGCGTAGGTTCATTCAAAATACACCTAATAAATTGTAATAAGATATTTCCACAAATGAAAAAAGTAATAACAAAATTTCATTTTAAAATTAGTTTTCATTCTCAATATTAAAACAAAAACAAAAACACGCATATGTTCTAAGATAGTGGTATAATTAAAATTCGCACCTTGCAAATTGTTGTTGTGAAAATCGAGGATTTGGAGGTTTTTTGACTCATCCTCTCTCTCACTCAACCTCACCATAAATAAGGATGTTTTAGGATAATAAGTCATATATTTTACATATTTATTATTTTTAATTAATTTTAACTGACTTTTCGAATTGCCTAAATTATTTTATGTTTATATTTTGAACTAAAAGGAACATAACTTCTTTACAAGACTTCTGACACCCCTCCACTTTGAAAAATAGAAATGGAATACTTTATTTATAAACACAAAAGATATTGTTTGCATATAGGTAATATATACACACACATATTTAGATTAAGGGAGAAGCAATTTTTGTCTAACCATCAAATTTCTTACCTTTTAATATTGCAAATCAGGACGTTAAGTTTGAGTAAATAATTTTTTGTAAATTTCCAATTAATCATGTGTGGCATAAAAACATTAAACTACTTTTTCAGCAATTTATCTCTGCATAAAAGAATTTTTTGATACTACCTCCTGTTCTAAATATAAGAGCTAGTTGACTAATTTGAGTAGATTAAATAAATAAATTAAGTTAGTTATTTGTAATAAATAGATATTATCTTTTCTAAAATATCCTTGCTAATCAATTTTATTGGCTAGAACTATCATTATTAAAAAGATTATTTTGAAAAAATAGATAAATATGAGAGACAAAGTAGATTGGGATCTTATATTTAAGATCAAAATAAAAGTCAAATGAGGTCTTATGTTAAGAACCAAAGGTAGTACAATGTTAGTAAGAAATTATAGGAAACAATTTTAGATAAAAAAGCCTGAAATTATGATATTTAAATTTAGGCACCTAACACTTCAAAAATTACAAAAAATGAAGAAAAAAATTAAAATTTTGAAATCCATGAAATTAGAAAAATTACAAAAATTTTGGACGCTTCTTTTAATTTCAACTTAAATAATTATTAAGAAATTATCAGTGAAAATTTTTATGTTCAAGAGCTTTGTTTAATTTTACCAAGAATTGAATGTACGGAATTGTACCAATTTCTTTTTTTTGGCCAGAAAATTGTTCCAATTCAATATGAATGAATTAATATATTTGTGTGTCTTAGCAATTTATAACGTTAGTAAATAATAGTTTTCTACTTTTTTTTGATATATTTCATTTACATGTCATGTCTACAAGATACAAAATTTACATTTTTTTCGTATAACATCGTTCAAGACTTAGTCATTTTGAAAAATAACACTGATATGATCTAATTGATAATATAGAACCAGATTTATTTTAAAAAACTTGCCGCCAACAAGAAAATGGAGGTGAAAATGACCGACATGGAAGGAATGCCACGCTGCATGAAAGTTAATTACAAATTTTGATTAATTTATTTTTCTTCAGTTTAAATATTTTATTTCATGTTTTGACATGCACGTGTGAAAAATAAATTATATGTAAAAGAAAGCATATCCAGTTTGAGATTAAAAGAAAGCATCAAAATCATATCCAGTCCGAGATTAAAAGAAAGCATCAAGTTCCATGTCTTTAAAATTAATCTAGCAAAATTATTATTCACTAAATTTGTAATATTTAAATTAAATTCATGACTTATCAAAATACTAAACAAAATTTAAGACAACCATATAATTAAAACTCTTACCTTGCAAGTTGCTTTTGCTAAGATATAGCCACTCAAGTTTGGTCAAATTTCCAATGTCGGTTGGAATGTTTCCTCTGTTGAATTTGTTATCCCCAATTTCTAAGTCTACTAATTCCTTGCATTGATGCCAAATGGAGGGTATTTCTCCAGACAAATCATTGTGATGGAGATATAATAGTTCAAGTTTTGGAAGCCCAGAACACAAATTTGTTGGTAGACTCCCAGATAAATTATTTCTGTCAAGGTCAATGTATTGTCGCACTGAACTATTAAATATGGAGGTTGGTATAGTGCCTGAAAACTGATTCCTTCCAAGATATATTGCATGAAGCTGTCGAAGATCACCAATCTCATTTGGAATGGGTCCTAAGAATATTAAATGATAAACAATATGTCAATATCAACTTTCATAGCATACTGAAGGATAAGGTATATCCTTACAAAGCTAAGCTAACAATGTTAACAAATATAATTATTTTCAAAAATTCAATTTGTCACTAGCTAACTAAGTCCTATCATTGTTATCGTTGATAAAAATAATATGTACATGAGAAATACTTGAATTTTTTTAAAAACACATATCGCAAGGCTTGTGCTCTTATATGAGAAATAACATAAGTACATTTTAAATAATAAAACACAACGATAATTATTTTCAAAATAGAAATAACCCTTTCAATTTAGCTCAAGTAAGAACGGTAGAATGAATATTTTGGATATGTGATTTGATGAGATATTTGGATGAATTAATGTTGGAGAACGTACATGGGAGACTCGTTACATTGTGATTTATGTTTCAGTTCCATTTATTTTCCTGTAATTTGGATTAATTTTAATTTATTTTTGTTATTTTTTAAGATTTATGCCAATTTTTTCAAGATCATTTGTTGGAAGACTGCAAAAAAATTTATTTTTGTTATCTACAAACTAGTTTAAAATAAAAGTGAATAATATATCATAAAATTAAGGGAAAAAGACAGTAAAATACCCTCAAAATTGCTAAATGACAAATTAGGGTGAGTAAATTTCAAAATCCCAATTCAGACCTCAGGTACCATTTTGGAATTTTCAAAGGTTACAAAATTACACAAATGCCCTTTACTTTTTTTTATACTTTTTTTTAAAATACTGCCATATCAGCAATTCCGGCCGCCGGAGCTCTAACACCGGCGACCAACCACTGGAGCTTCGATGACCGATTGTCGAAGTTCCGATGACTATTCTTTCTTATATATTGACTACTCTTTTTTAGCTATTGACTACATTTATTTTTGAACTTTGATGACACGTTACTGGAACTCTGGTTACTAGTCAGGGGTGCTCTAGTACTACTCTTTTTTAGCTATTGACTACATTTATTTTTAAATTCTGATGACTACTCTTGTTTATATATTGACTACTCTTTTTTAGCTATTGATTACATTTATTTTTAAATTCTGATTACTACTCTTGCTAAGCTATTGACCACTCCAGTAATGCGATTTACTATTCTTGTGTAGTCAATAGCTATATAAAAATATTCATTGGAACTTTGAAAACAAAAGTTGCCAATAGTTAAAACAGAGTAGTCAATAGCTATATGGAAGTAGTCACCGATAGTAAGGATAATGTTGTCATTTTACAAGATTTGAAAATTCTAAAATGGTACCTGGGGTCTGAATTGGGATTTTGAAATTTACCTACCCTAATTTGTCATTTAGTAATTTTGAGGGTATTTTACTGTCTTTTTCCCTAAAATTAATATATATTATATATTATCCAAATTAAAATTAAATATTCCATTTTACAAACATGTTGCTCGTAAGGCTTATTCATTTTTTAATTAAAAAAAAATTCAAAAACTTTTTAATAACATGATAGCAATAAACATCATTTTCAAAGATTGATAATGGGCCTTAAAAGATCTCTTCGGACTAATATTATAACAATACTAACCATCTCAAAATTTGGATGACATATTGTTTTTTATTCTCTTAAGAAGAATAGAAAAATGGTTGGGGGAAAAAAAAAGAAGGAATGCACAAAAATATAACAAAACCTAAAAAAGAAAGAAAAACAAGGGAGACAACACCAGAATCATTCAAAACATACCTAACAAGCTGTTATAATTAAGATAAAAATAGAAAATTCAATTTGTAAGTGTCGATCATCCAGAAATTAATAGACATGTCATTTTATATTTCTCCAATCCCAAATCAAAGTCAAGGAGTGCAAACTCAATTTCAAACTGGAAAATGACCTCTCGTGATTGCGTCAAATTAAAATTAATTAGAGTGGCATGTTATATTCGTTTTCAATACGTCTGAAGTTATTTTTTTAAAAGTATGAGAAGCTAAAATAAATATATAAATAAAGAGACTATTCAGATTATAAGGATATCACAAAATATAAACAGCCAATTACAAATGACGCAAGATGAAAATATCATTGATAAAAGTAAGAAATACTCCACCCTTTTAATTCCATGTGAATCTAGATAGTGTTGTAAGGGGCCTTTTTAAAATTTCAATTAACATACAGTGAAAATAGTATTTGCGAATATTGCACACTCTAAGCATAATAAGTATGTGTGTTTATTAAATTCTAGTGGATTGTCTATAATAAAAGAAAACGAAAAAAACTTACTATTGAAAAGAAAATATGAGGGAAATGAAAAATTAAAAAAAAAAACTAGAAAGAAGGAATCCCAACTGGTGCCATGTGTTCAAAGCACGTTGCAAATAAGGGATCCATGTTAATTTATAATCATCTTTGTGAATATTTTTGGTGGAGTTCTAAAACACGCCTTAACTATTTTAAACTTCTAAAATTCAACTCACCATAGCTTTTTATTTCACAAAATGGAAAAAAAAATCTCATTAGTATAAAATGTAAAAAAAAAAAAAAAAGTGGGAGTCGCATTTTTGAGGAACAAGTCTTGTGCACTTTGGAGCATCATCAAGAACCGTTTGGTACGTAATGACAGATAAAACCCATTTAGTTATCTGACATCATATTTTCTACGTCTAAACGTCATGACCTAAGTAACTCCTAAGAATTTAAACAAATTTTTCTTTCACAATGATATAATTTGCATAGATTGACAAGAAAAAAAATCAATATTAGAGCTGACTTATTCAATATTAATTATGAAAACTTGAATTCTAGGCTTTATCACCTTACTTTATAAATAATTAACTTCAATTTTGAGAACGAAGGATCATTAAAGAAAAACCATGTTCAACGCACCCAAACAATGATGATTGAGGGTTTATATCCAGATGAATAAATAGACTAGTTTTGAGCAAACACAAATATAAATATAAAAATTAATCCAAACATACCTGACAAACTATTATAAGACAACCATAGCAATTCAAGTGAAGATAAGTTGGAAATTGTTTGGGGAATTGCTCCTGAAAGTTTGTTCCTTGAAAGTTGTAAATTCTTCAAGTGCTTTAGACTTCCTATTTCAGGTGGAATGGTACCTCCAATAATATTAGAGTTCCAATCCAAAGTCTCCAACCTTGATAGATTGAACAGAGATAATGGAATAAATCCATTGAAACTATTATTTTGAAAAATCAAGTGCTCAAGCATAGATAAATCTCCTATCCATGTTGGAACTTGTCCGTGAAAGTCATTATAGCTCAAGTTGAATAGTCTCAATCGACGTAATCGAACTAAGTCTTGAGGAATTTGACCATGAAAGTTGTTTTTACTGAGATCAAGGTAAGCTAGAAATGAGAGATTTCCTAGTTGTGGAGTTATGCTACCCTTAAGATCCATGCCACCAAGATTCAAGGAATGAACCCTTCCATGACGAGTATTGCAGGTGACACCAACCCAACTGCAAGGAGAAGAAGAGACAGACCAATTAGTGAAGAAATCGTATGGATCTGAAGTGATATGGGATTTAAGGGAAAGAAGTGCAGATCTGTCGGTGGTGATGTTTGTTTGAGTCCAAGCTAAGCAGGACATGAAGCAATGCAGTGAGAAAAGGAAAACAAAGGCTAGAGGTTTTCCCATGTTTTGCACAGCAGACTTATCAAATTTGCAAGTGTTGCGCATCCAGCAATTAACAAGCACGTCCATTTATACTTCTCTAATTCTAAATCAAAGTCAAGGCCACCAAGTTAAATTTCAAATTGGAAAATAGCATTTCTCGTGAATACATTAAAAAATAAGGATAAAGAAGAGAACACCAAAATTAAATATAATGCATGATTGTGATAAATTACAGACTTTCAAATAATAAAAACTCTTTACTTTTTTGTATTGTACTTCATTTAAAATTAATTTATATTCTCTTCTGTTTGTCTTGTGTGGCTTTAATATTTCTGCAAACATTTTTTTGCCAGATAATATTTCAATACACATACAGTAAATTAAATTGTATAATTAAAAATGGTATTTGCGAAGATTACACACTCCACGATGCTCAATTACACGTGCATGGAGATGAAAACTTAAAGATTTTGTTACACCTAATAACTTAGATCTGAACGATATGTCATAATACATATATTTATTGGATGGTACACAGTAACTACAAAATAAATCATAATATCTACGACCTATATATCATAATATTTTCATTTTATATATGAATTAAAGGCAGTCTATTTTCTTAGTGCAATTCATATATTAATATTAACAAAAGCAACAAGATTTTTAGCAAAAAAATGAATCTTGATAATATGATTATGTTTCTATGTCTTCTTGTTCAGGATTCTTTTGCAAATTATCCAAAATTCCTTCTATGTATTATGAGTTTTTTTGTTCAATTTTGAGAAGCTAAAAACAAAAGAACTTCCCGTAACATCGTATTGAAAAATGGACTTCTGTAGTAAAACGGTGGAGAAAAGCAAAACTAAAAAAAAAAAAGATATTTGGATATGAAGCTTAAAAAATTGATTGCAAAAAACAAGTCTATATGGCTATTTTAAATTATGAAGTCCATTTTTTTAATAAAAAGATTAATCCTTGGATGGAAATTTTGTGTGACTTTTGCTATAAAAATAATAAAGTGATGCTTTTTTTAAAATGAATAATTATATTGAAGCTTTCTCTGCCATCATTTGGAAAACTTGCCAAGAGTATCAATGGTCTAAAGAAGAAGAACTGCTGGCATGAAGTTGTTTTTCTCAAAATCATAGGCAAAAAGCATGGCAGACTTTTCAAACATCAAGTTGGCCCCAAAAGAAGTTGACGTAATAAAAAGAAAGAAAATTACATTACTGTTGAGGAAACATTTTCACCCTTCAAATAGTTCATTATGACATCATGGACCATATTTTTATTATTACTGCACTGTATGAGTCACAAAGTAATCCAAAATAAGCTTTGTCCTTTTGTGAAGTGTAATTTTACTTCTTAGACCACATTTTCATTATCATTGCATTAGTCCTTCACAAATATATACCTCAAAAGTCTTTAGTTTTAATTTGACTCTATCTCCCATTTGTGACTAGTAATAAACCTCAAAGTCATCACACTCAATTTCATAGGAAACTGCTTCTAAATATCTCCTCTAATATGAAAATTTTATTTTTTGTAATAGCATCATCTTGGTTCAAAGAAAAATACCGCATAGTTGATTTTTTAAATACACGTAAATGTCACAAAACATCATCATTTTGGTATATGCTATGCTAAGCTACTCTCTCCCTTTCATAATCAATGTCACAAAATGTTCTTACATATTTCATAAATCGTGTCATCATAAATCAAGAAGATATTAAATGATTTATTTTCTGTTTTGCTCCTTATTAGTGTAGTCATTAAACACATGGTTAGGTAGACTTTTCAAACATTAAAGCTGTCCACAAAAAAAGTTGATGCATCGAAGAAGTTAAGAAAATTATATTAGTGATGATTAACAGTTTGATCCTACAAGTGGTCCTTTATCATACATCATTGAACCATATGTTCATTGTCCTTTGTATTGTATGGCTAATAGATTCACCCCATAAAATAAGTTAGCGATGAGAAATATATTTGTCTCTTTAGAAAATATGATTCCACTTTATGGACCACATTTTCATTTTCATTGCAATGTTTCATTCATGATTACTCTTGTAGGCCACATATATAGAGTATAATTCCAAAAGAACGTAAGAAAAGCTTATTAATTACACTTTCAAATAATAAAAGCTTTTTACTTTTTTGTATTGTACTTTGTTTAAAATTGATTTATCTTCTCTTCTGTTTGTCTTGTGTGGCTTTAATATTCTTGTAAACATTCTTTTGCCAGATAATATTTCAATACACATACAATAACTCAGATCTGAACGACATGTTATAATTCATATATTTATAAAATAACAGATAAAAAAATTTATAAATAATGGCAGATAAGAGGGGGGAAAAAACTTAAGATGCTGGGTGTTTTTTCATGAATAGTTTTAGAGTATTTAATCACCTTATCCCTTTTTTAAAATGTTAATTTTGATGTAGTCTCAATTTGCAATTTTCAACTAGTGTATCATCTATTTTATTAAAAGCAGCCTTCAATTCAATTTATTTTAATTAGGGAATTTTCAAAATGAAAATACATCCACAAAAATAAATTTATAAATGACAGCTAAGTGTAAATAACATATGAATTTCTTCAAGACTAGCCAAACAAAGATATTGACAAATCACTAAACCAAAATATATTCCAGTTAATACCAACAAAGAGTTGAGCATAAATGAAATCGGCATTCCAAAGATTAAAGTTATCTCCAAAAACAGGTTGATGAAATGACCCCATAAATACGTTAGTAATGAGAGAGTATAATTCCACTTCCTGAACCACATTTTCATTTCCATTGCATTATTTCATTTATGGTCAATCTTGTCCATATATAGAGGAAAAAAATTTATAATTACTAGTGCGAAGAAGCACGCATGAACAAAACATCTATCAAAAGTCAACAAACTTTAATTGATTGTACGTATGCATTGGTACATGGGGCGCTTGACTTGTAAGTAGACCTCAAAGTCACACCCAATTTCAAACGAAACAACTCATATGTGTGCGTGTGTTTGTAATTTTGATTTGGTAATATCATTTTAATTTACCCATAAGAGAATACCACAGTTGACTTCAAAAACACTTGAATAGCGTAGAATTTAATTATTTTTTGTTTCAGATTTTATAGATTGTATGTGGCAAAAAAATTAATATGTATTTTTGTATGTATATTCCAAAAGGCACAGAAACTCAATCTGATAATCCACTTTCTACGCCACAAACTTGAAGGGATCATTTGTGCAATTTTTTAAAAGCATTTTGAAAATCATATTGAAGGATAACATATTAACAAAATTAAAGTTGGTTTAGTTTATACCAAAGTTAAAAAAAAAAAAGGATTGAACAGGCCGTTTCAACAGGAAAACTAGTGAACTGGTCAGTGGTCCGGTCTGGTTCACAGATTAAACTTGGGAACGGTTCAAACCGGGTTGAATCGGTAAAAACCGGTGTGAACCAGTAATGAACCAGTCAGAATGATTATTTTGCTATTTGTCATATTTTTCCTCATTCGGTCTGAATATCTCAGTTATTATAGATTTAAATGGATTTTAATGATAATTTTGGCATCAATAACTTAGGAATCATAAAGATCAAAATTCTCAATACCGTTATATTTTATTATTGTTACAATCAAACTATTATTGTATTTCCTTGTATTTTGTTATTAGCGATTATTAGCATTGTTATATTTTGTTATTTTCAATCAAATTATATTATTTTAATATGACCGGTTTGATCCCGGATTGATCCCAATCTGACCCGCTGACTCTTGAACCACTATATCAACCGGTTTAGTGTCCGGTATGATTTTTTGTTCCTTGGTTTATACAAATATAATACCGCACATATTTTAAAGGAGTGTGAGGTTTGAATTTTATTGTTGGGATGAAAATCATTTTAGCGGTTAGTCTTCAAATACTTTTGTAAATATACCTAGAGATTACCCAAAGAAATTAGTGATAAAAAAGATGTCAAAGCAACAAATAAATATATCAAAGTCCTTGGAAATAGAGAAACTACTAGCGCGTTTTACTTGCAAAACACAATCCGTCTATTGTGCATTAAAGTCAAATTTACAGTCGTAGTTACAATTCATCTGACTGGAAACAACTTCTAAATGTCTCCTTTTGAATGGTAAAGAAACAGCTTCATTTGGTTATGTGTTAAATTTTATATTGGTAATAATTGATGAACTTTTGTACACCAAAAAAAATAATTGATGATTTTTTTTGCACATCGAAAAGAAATAATTCATGATTTTTGAAATCCTTAAAATTATATAAGCAAGGATATTTTTAAATTAAAGCAAAGCATGAATGGAATTTCAGAGATTATCAAATTTTTCCCGAATGTTAAGTCTGAAATAATCAATAAAAATGTTAGCCAGTAGAGTATGAAATCATCTCTTAGAAGATTCTAAAACTTTAGTTAATTCCTTTAAAAATGTTAATTTTGTTGATAATTAAATTGAGAAAGAAGATAGGGTGCTCTCGCACCAATAGGCTGAAAATGAAACACCGTATATTATAGTAAAGATCAAGTTAAGAAGCATCCATGCCATGGGAAATAAAATAAAAACAAACATCTGCATACTAATCTAAAAACATAAAATTGCATAATAGATCTTAATCTTAAATTTAAATTAACACTATAGAAATTCAGTAGATGACCATAAATTTAACATTACATTATTTGATTTGGGGGCATAAAAAAGTTGCGTGGGAAAAAAAAGGGAAGACAATATATAATCTAAATCTAAATCCTAGAAAATGCCAACTAAACATGTTCCAAGAATTTAAAGAATATGTTCTTGGGAGAATTTGAGGAGTTTTTAAATTTATTAAAAAAATTAGAAATTTCCAACAAGTCCTATAATAATAAACTTATTAATCTTTCAAGTGTTTTAATTTTAAAGCATATAAATAACATCTTAATTTCTGAGACTAGCCAAACAATGACATTGGCAAAACATAATCCCAAATATATTTGGGTTAACAACCAAATACAGAGAAAGCATGGATGGAAGAGGCCAAAAAAAAA